ATGTGCGTGACTGCGTGCGCGCGTGCGTATGTGCGTGTGCATGTGCGTGACTGCGTGCGCGCGTGCGTATGTGCGTGTGCATGTGCGTGACTGCGTGCGCGCGTGCGTATGTTCGTGTGCATGTGCGTGCATGTAATCGTAAACTAATGTAATGTAATGTAATGTAATGTCATGTAATGTATTGTAATGTAATGTAATGTCATGTAATGTAATGTCATGTAATGTATTGTAATGTAATGTAATGTAATGTAATGTAATGTAATGTAATCGTAACGGCTGTATCGTACGTACGTGGCGCGTCGTGAAGTTAGTCTCGGAAGAACGTTGTCCGATCCATAAATTCGCACCACAGCTCCAATAAACAGAACAAAACTCACCTGTAAAATAGTCATCATCAGCGATTAGCATCTCGTCAAGTATCATCGTTCCCGTAATTAATTAACGTACGTTTTTTTAAAGTCGCCGATTCATCCACTACGAAACGGGCTAGGCACATACAACAAGTTACGTAGAGAATACGTTCATGAGATCGTGAGCTAGAGAGACGTAGTAACGCCAATGGCTGCATCAGCGTTTGCCGGCTAAATTAGAAACTGTATCGTATTAGTATAAATTTGTAAGTGAGCCGTAATGCAGATCCAAACTGACTTTATGCCAATGGTCGGCTGGTAAACAAAAAGTGTAAATTTACCGGATTTCCAGGTTAATATTTTATAATGTTCTTGACATATTTGATGAAATATTCAAACAGATATTTACAGCACAGCTACAGTAAAGTTTGAATGCATAAAAATATTATGCTGTTCCTGTGTGTGTAAATACGTAAAAATTCGATGTAAAACAGAAGAATATGCGAAAATTCCAGCACATAGCGATAGATCCATTTCTAACAAGGCAGCGTTGAATGCATTAACGCACAACACATGGCCAATCGTTACATGGTTGACTCCATCTAGGGTGCATATGCCACCATGCACCCTAGAGCCAGTGACCGACAGTGGCGTTTTATGCGGGTTTCGCGCCGTTGTATACCAGCGTGAATACTGACCGCGTAGATCGCTATGATCGGTCCAATTGTAGCCCACATGAGATCAGTTTGAAGTGATAACCAGCAACTATAGAGAAAAAAAATCACATGACGTTAAAAAATACTCTTCCAGTGTGCTGTACCAGTCAAGCCATGACGATATCATGAGAATGCTGTGATGGGAATTTTCACTCTAAGTATGTGTTAGCAACAGTTTAATTTCGCGTTCATTCATTCGGCGCGTGGAATACTCACTAAAGCTTGCCGTGGAGGGAGGTGATATCAGCAAAGACTGCAGTGAATGCAGTCGGAATTCCTGGTAAAACTGTTGACAGGCAATGAATGACAATTATTAGGTACGTATTGAGGTACGTATGCGCCAAGTACTTGACAATAAACTGTTAATAAAGGTTAGATGTTACAATAAATGTTTTGATGTTTTAAATTTATAAACATTACGATATTTTTTAACGGAATTAAATAACTTTGAATTTTTAGACCAATATATCGATGATGGCGATAATTGATAAAGCATCGCAAAAATTATCAGAATGTTTTTCCAACTCGCATGCTTATAAAAACTCGCATGCTTAGTAAATGACGTTTTCTTACAAAATTAACAGTCCCAGGTTCGTTTGAGTGTGCCAGGCTTCACATGCAATCATTATATAGGTTCAAAAAGTAATTTCAAAATATCAATTTAATCGAGAAGGGTGTAACTATGCAATATTACAGTATCGCTGTGTACACTTACCCCACGTTAGAGCGATAAGCCACAGCATGATAGACCTAGACCCTTTTGAAGTCTGGTGTATGTCGTAAGTTATACTGACAATCGGCTGTACGATGAGTGGTATCAAACAGGTAAATACGACAAGATAGAGGTACATTAAGGCCACCGTTGTTAGCTTACAGACGACCTGAAATTATAAGAAATGTAAGCGATATCTAGTATATCTGTATCGTATTGTTGAAAACATTGCGTAAAACAAACCAGAGTAGAATATTGCCATTTGAATAAATTAGTGAATACATTTAATACATGTATTTATTATTTAGCACGTTCGCGTTTTAACTATATATATAACATATAATAATAATAATAATAATAATAATAATAATAATAATAATAACAATAATTCGTTGATTAACTATCGAGCAGCTTAATTAAATATTTACATCGTCCCCTGGTACAATATAGACTCCGGCGATAAACATTCCGTTGGCTAGTGTAAGACTGACGCAGAGGCTGACAATGTGTCCGTTATTCTCATCCATGTTTGCTGAGCTGCAAGTGTGATAAACATACTAGATAAGTATACAAGGCATACAAGAAGGAAATATGACGATATATATGGAAACCTTAGTCGCCCGATTGAGATATAAACATCACGAGAGAACGGGTTAAATTACAAATACGATCGTATATTACGTGCTTAAAAGGAACAGATACTTTCATACACGGTATATTAGCAAACGCCATCTGCCAGCATATGTCGCTAAATAGGTTTACCAAACGCACACTTATTCATACTAGAAATATATTAATTAATGACGAACACACCTCATGCGAATCATAAAATATACAATAGTCAGCATGGAGCTAACAATGCATATTATAGCTCCAATTAATGTCACTATGTTCAATTCCTCATATCGCACAACATCAGATAGTTGTATGGCAAAAGTGCCTGTCTGTTCGCATTCGCAAACCGTGTGATTTTCGCCAGTTTCGATTATTTTACATCCTTCTTGCAACCAGTTGTCCCCCCTGAAACAAAAATGATAGAGTAAAGCACGAAACGGATATTCAAGAGTTCGCCTCTTTATGTGTAATCTATCGTTATTGTTGTTGTTGCTTTTGTTGTTCTTTTATTACTATTATTATTATATATTATTATTATTATATTAGGATTGTGTGGAAATGATTCACGTACGCTGATGACGTGTTATCGGCCAGAACGCTGCACATCCGCACTGGATTGTCAAAGTCAAGACTTTCAAGATTCTAAAAAAACAAGAAATGGAACACAATAACTTATAAGGCAAATCGACGCCTTCCTAACGTTACGTAGAATAGAAAATCGTGCATACCTAATATAAATGGACTGAAATTATAATTGAAAATAATACCGTTGAACGGTATACATGTTTGACTTAGAATGTACATTGTAATTGTTGATATTTCAACATTAATGAGCAGTTCTGTTCTCTTCTATTCTAGAGTATTGTGACTTAGAGCTAATAGACAGTCCTACGTACGCGCGATTAGATAACGTTATCAAAATTCAGCCAGTATAGCGATCAACCAACTACTCAGGCATACCTTCTGATGTAGAAAATCTAGTTTCGCCGGCGGTAGTAGGCTCTGGTGCCTAATCGCTGATAGATCATCAGTGTGTTTTATTGTTGTCGTGACGTCAACTAGAAATGAGACGATGACATCTGTAGGCGTGCCCCTAATAAAGTGCAAGTATTCGTGAGACACATGCAGTGGTATATGCAACACTGGTTTACCATACTCGATACTTCGAATGCGACTTTCCAGTTCAATGTAACGCCATGCACACATTTCCCCCAAAACCCCCCCCCCACCACCATAACATATACAGTTAGCCACCGAAAATGTGTGTAGTGTACAGACATTCACTCACGCATGCACACACGTACATACCGACGCACACATATACACGCACGTGCCACGCCACGCACACACACATACACACACAAAGACACACGCACACACACACGCGCGCGCACACACACGCACACGCACACGCACATGCACACGCACACGCACACGCACACAACACACGTGCGCCTGGCACGCCACAAACACACACCCCCAGAGGCATTACACACACCGCACGCACGCACGCACGCACTGCACGCACACGCCCACGCCACGCACACCACCACACACACATCACACACACACACACACACACACACACGCGCGCGCATGTCGCGCGCTGCGAGGCGCCCCAGCAACCCAAACACACACAGGCGTATAGCACACACACACGCACGCACGGCTACGCGACGCGCGCACGCACGCACGCGACCGCACACACAACACACATCACACGTACACACACACACACACACACACACACACACACACACACACACACACGCATGTACACACGCACGAACGTACGCCCACACATACGCCCGAAATGCATTCGTGCTTACTTGCTGCATGAAAGAAGTTCGTGCATCGTCCTGTACATGGTAGAAGTAAGAACAATAGCATCCTTGGCTTCATCCCAGTCCTCGGAGACCATAGCGCTCAGCGTTTCGCCACGTATCGTCACCTACACATACAGGCGCGTACAATACACTATATAGAATACAACACGTAGTTAGCTATGAAGATGCATTTTCGCGCATGCGCAATACCTGCCGATAGGATTTTGCCAACGTTAAACATATAAAATGGAGTGGAGATATCGGAGGGTAAATATAGGTGTTAGATGTCTATCACATTACTTCTCTTCATGAATAGGAACACGCCCTAGCATGTGAGGTAACCGTGGCAGATGCCTTATGGACACAATCTGATTACGTAATTTACTGTGCTTTGTAGGCCAAGATATGTGTTTGCGCATGCGCAATATCTGCAGATAGGATTAATATTTTACCAAAGATATGCATTTAAAATGGAGTGGGGTACGATCTGCGAGCAGGACTAGTGACTTTACTCTGTGACTTACTGAGTGTAATATGAAAGTGTCTTAAAAACATTGCTATTCTGTAATAATTCGTACGGATTTTGCTATAAAACGACTTTATTTGTTTTATACCATTTTTTAATGTTTTATTATTCCCATTTTAGACGATCGAATATGATTTAATAATCAATACCGTATATTATAAAATATATCAATAACCTACCGTAGTATTGCTATCCGTCACCCAGTTCCATCCCGGTTCCATATTGGAATTTGGAAATATATAGTCAGCGTACTCTATCCGCCTTGTAGTTTTATCAGCTGTGGCCGCCTCCACGTACAAAGCTGAAGGCGGAATATATTCCCGATTGTAAAATATATAAATCACTGTCGATAAATATGACATTATTAGTAAACGTGCCGATATCACAGTCTACGCGATTTCTCACCATAGATTCTGAACGTTGTCTGCCACTCATTAAAGGAGAAGCAGCGAAATATAGAATGCACCACAGATAGAATACTTATGTGTAATACGTATCTCGAATGCGAATTTGAAATTAAATTGAATTTGAATTTGAATGAATTGATGAATAAAATAAAATAAAATGAAATAAAATAAAATGAAATGAAATGAAATGAAATTGAATTTGAATGAAATTGAATGAAATTGAATCGAAGTGCGAATTGACGAATGCGAATGCGAATACGTATCTCGAATGCGAATATCATCTATATGCGAAACAGTCACGCGCGTTATCGTCATGGGAGTCTGCCACGCCTAGTAGGAAAAGATGGGAATTAAATTATGATATAATACAATACTAACCAAGGTTGTCATCGGTAACTGAGAAGGGTCCATCTCCTGGTTTAATACCAGATACAACTGCTTTGGAAAGACTTTCCATGTTCGTCAATAATGATTTGACGCTCGTCGATACTTCCTATATAAGGAAATGGCAAAAAAAAATCAATACGTCATTAAATTTTTTTATCGGATCTCTATAGTTCACAGGAAAATAAAGTTAATCTGAGTTAGATCCATAATAACGTTATAAGAAGTCTATCGGTGAGATAGTCGAATATTTCGTCAGTGTACGATTATATAACTTTATTATGGATGTAACTCAGATTAACTATATTTCCCTGCAATTCAATACGGACATCGGCACCGCTTATATAAAGACAGGGGCAAGCCACGTTAATTTCATTTCCTTTTCTGCAAACCACAGCATCACATAATTTATACGAATTAAATATATATAGGGGCCTATTGTACATTATTATCATATTAGTATTAATCTATACCATATACAATAATATTGTATCCATAATCCATAATATTATATGAAATAAAATGTTATTGTTTTCGCTTATTGTACAATGTAGTATGTAACAATGTAGTGTGTACAATGTAATATAGTGCAAATGTTAAAATTGATTAAGCGCAGTGACTAAAAAATGATTGATTGATCCGCAATATTTGTGTAAGGTACCACCTTAGTGTGGCTGCAATTTATATCGAATTCAGCACACCGCACTAAATATGATTAGCAAAACCTAGCCGATGTCTGCTGCTTAATAGCGCAATATTTATTTTGCTGATCTGATAAAGTGACTTTGATTGGTCAGTAGTGTTATATTACCTCATCGATTTGACCCCAGTTATCTTTCTGAGATAGATCAGACACATCAGAAACGATGCTCACGAAATCCTACGAAAGAAGCATATAGTAACTACGTATACAAATGTACAATAAACAACGAGCCCCAAGCTAAGGTGTTTATTATGACGATAACATTTTCTAATCGAATTCGAAATTCGCAAGAGTCTGAAATGGGGCCCACCTCTAGTTTGTTTTAAGATCTACGTTATACTACAAATAAATAATACTAAAAATAGTTCTTTGGTTAATTTGCAAAATCCATGCTTTTGCTAATGCAATCCGCCGTATGATTTGTCTATTTGATCAACTTTGATTCTCTCCGTCTTCGATATAGTTCTTTGGACTTTGAAGAGCAAGCTTTATAAGGTTATTGCGCTGATCTCCATAAACTATCTCTAACTAAGTTAGTTTATAGAGAGATCAGTGGGTTATAGTAATTTCTGCGCGAAAGTAAATGACGTTCACCTTTACTTCTTGTTTGGAAGTTACGCCGATAGTGTTCTCGTCCCAATAGTACGTCACGCTATTCAGTATAGCAACGGTCAGCGTCAGGTCTCCAGGAGTGTTCTCCTCGCCGTTAGATGTCGTGATAGTCGCGAGCTCATCCAATATGGCGTCTGGGGCCGACTCGGCGTAACCATCATTCATGGCTTCAGCCTACAGATACGACGTGAACCGAAGCCACATAAAGCTTGTATAATAGTTTGGGGGAAAAGTTTGGGAATGTAATGGAAATAAGCTCAAACGAGTACGAAGAATACATGATCTTCATAAGTTATAAATATCTAAGCCGGTTCGCCTGGGATGAGTTGTCTCGCTAGTTGCTATTGCCCAACTGAAATCGAACCGATTCGCAACTGATGAGCAAACCTTGCCGTGACGTCAGCAACTTACCTGGTCCAGCAATGTGTTAAGTTGATCTTTACTGCATTTCACGTAAGATGGGTCGGACCATGTTGCGTTGCCGCTTGCGTCCGAGCCGCAGTATCGAGTGGCTACACCTGCAAATGTCAGCACCGTAAATATGAATATTGGCTACCCGTAGAATTATACATTTCCATTGCATGTTCGTGAGTTATCATAGGTAACTTTTGTAACGATTACAAGATCTTCGGCTTTCGCTCCTCCTTTTCCATCTTCCTGTCTCTTTCTCATTCTTTCTCTCACGCACACGCACACACGCATGCGCGCACACACACACACACACACACACACACACACACACACACACACACACACATGCACACGTAGGTTGCTGAATCTATGCGAGTAGTCCTCCATTACCTGCGTAACCTGGCTTGCAGTCAGCGCTGGCTGTATCACCTATTGTTATTTGTGGCCATTGTACATCATCATAAACCTCACCTTGACACACCTCCATCGTGGCCCCTGAAAAATAAGACGTGGATCATGTACATTCTATTCAATTTGTGTACATTACACATCGAATGCCAAGTGAAAGCCGACCCTAAGCCGACAGCCTCCTGGATCTTCGTTGATAAGACGCTGTCCGATGTGAAGGAGAAGTACAAGATGCCCGTGGTCGAGCTAGGCGACAACAAGTGGGCGCTGAGACTCACCATATTCGTACGTTCACGATGACGATGACGATAATTTTGCATTTTTCTATTTGTTCCACGTTCTCGGTTGTTCTTCGTTCGTTCTTCGTTCGCGTTGTTCTCATTCAAACATTCTCGTAATGCAATAATTGGGATGTGCTCTGGGTTCAAGCGTCAAGATGAAATATGTTTGTGCAAAATTGTTTACATTGAAATTTACGTATTTGTGTGGCGACACAATTGAACAATGCAGTGCCCAATGCTGACGATTTCACTCTTATTTAATTATCTCTTATAATTTTATTCTCACGATAAGCCTCGTTGTGCGTGCGTTTGTTTCTAGTCGGGTATTTCACATATTTACAAATGCATTTCCTCTCCTCATACTTGTGGCCCGTCTCTGCATTGATTTACTACATCATTCAACTATTCTCCTTCGTTGACATTTTCCAGAACACGGTGAAGACTGACACCGGAAGATACAAGTGCACGGCTAAGAACAAGTACGGATCGTGTCACGGTAGCGTCTCCGTGCAAATGTAACCCGATGGATAGCAATGGCAGCTGACTATATTACGCGTCTACTACAACACCGATTCGAGTTTTATCTGCATATTGATGCCATGCTCCGACGCACCTCGTATACTTCTGTGTTTTACCGCAGAATGGCGGCTTGAATTATTGGCGATTATGTATCCAGATATTGTATGATATTACATATTACTGACCGCCGTTCTTACTGTTTGTTTGTTTTGCGCAGCTGCGATAGCATTTGATAAGCATTGCCCTTCATTGACGAACGAATGAGGTCTCCTGACAGGTAAAAGCCAATGAGAAAAGTTGAAGTGCGTATCACGTGGGCTATTCCAGCATATGGGTGCCTTCCTAGCAATGCGACGTGACAAATCTTGATACTAGTAAGAACAAACCCCTTACCTGAGATCCCCTCCATGACACCTGTGCTAAAGGATAGGGCGTCGTTGTTTCTGGGAAAGTCCGTACGTAGCAGTAGAGTTTTTACTTAACGAATGACGTGCTCATGCAAATGTGTTAATGTTTTTATTTGTGTGTGTGTGCGCACGTTTGCGTGTGTGTGTGCGCGCGCGTGTGTGTATGCGTATGCACGTGCGTGTGCGTGCGCTTGTGCATGTACATAGGAGTATGCGTGTGCGTGTGCGTGAGTGCGCGTGTGTATATGTGCGTGTTTAAGCACGTGTCTGTTAATGTACTGAGCCATTTTAGTTATTTTTTACCTCATTAAATTCTGAGTCTGTGTTAATAACCGGAATTCACAACAAACTATATAATAACAAATGAATATATATATATATATATAGTTTTGTGATCTCATGCCTTTGACGCTATGATGTGAACTCGTGATATGCATTACCTCATCTCCGCCATCGTCTTTATCTAAAACATAAATCGCCATATACGCGGGCGTCATTTTCGCTTCCGGTTTCGAGAGAATTGCGAGAGTGAACGGTTTTGCCTCGCTGCTATCAAGTGATGACGTGTCGATAGCTTGACAAGAAAAAGTTCCTGTGAGAAAATTGGAAAAATTAAAGATTAAATATCGCGGATCTAAGAGTGAAATTAGTTTTTTCACATTTTCTCATATCACATTCACAATTTTTTTTCACATTTATAAACCGAGTAAGATATTCGTAAATGTGGTGTATAAGTACACTTACCCGAATCTCGCAAGTTCGTTTTCGAAAATGCTAGTGTGGATACGTATTGCCCATCGGGTGTAGTTTCTTGCTCGACAGAAAGCCTATTGCTTGTGCTGGCCTCGACATTAATTTCAATGTTGTTCCTGAGCCAGAGGAAATTCACAGGGCGGGTGCTATTGATTGTCGAGCATTTCATGGTTAGATGCTCTCCATTAATAAACGGCGGTGATTCAGGTTCCAAAGTAAATCCCAATAGGAAAGGGTTGGGCGACACGGTTGGCTCTACGGAGGTGTATTCTGGAACTGTTGTTCTTACTGTGGAAACTGTTTCTTCTGTTGAGATGTCGTGAGCTTCTGTTGTTGTGGCAGTTCCTGTTGAACTAGTACCTGGTACTGGTGTTGATGCAGCCTCTTCTGAGGTTACCTCGGTGTCGACTGTTGTCCTTACTGTGGAGACTGTATAACTAGTAACAGTCTGCATGATATATATATGTCTGTGATGTTTATTTGATATATATAAATCAAGATAATTCAGCACGGTGGCGATGATAGCAACAGCAGCAAGTAGATATCATCTTATATATTAGGAAATTCCTGGCTATCAAGACTTGCTCAATACGATAAATGCCAAAACATTAAAATAAGTCACCGAGTGAGAGCAGGCAGAAATTAAATTTATAAATGCCCACGTGACGAGGCTCTATAACGTCTTCTTACAATCATGAACCGCATTAATGTAGCGAGACGCAATTAATGTAACATTTCATTCTGTCACTATTACATCCTGATTTTTATCTACTTCTTCTACCACATATCTTTTTGTTTCCCATTTTCTCAAGCTTTTTACTGTCATCTCTGTTCCATCCTCAAATCCCGTAGCACCCTACCTCCACAACCTACTATACCTACTATGCTAACCTACTACCTATACAAACATGCCTCGACTCTACATATATTTTACACCCGTGTTACGTTCGCTATCAGGCTCCTCTCTACCTTCTTCGCCTCTTCAATCCTCTCCTTACAGTCTCCGTTTAGTAGAGATATCGCACAACACAGTTTATTAAGTCAATCGGTTTATTAAGCTAAACAACCGCTCATAAGGGCGCCATCTAGCGTACCGCAGACACGCAGCCACATTGTGAAAAGAATGGCAACTGACGGTTAGTTTTATATAATTATAAAAGCGAGTTATATAGCGAATTAAAGCGAATAAAAGCGAAATTATAAAAGCAAAAAATGCACTACTTTCCCCTGTAATTTAACTCGAGAACGGTGGATACGACATCGGAGATTTCGGGGAAGTCCATCATGACGATGTTGAAGCCTCGCTCGCACCCAGCTGCTGAGCACCGGGTTACATTTGCTCGTCAGCGCCGCCTCGTGGTCACGATCCGTATTAGCCATCATCGTCTGCGCGTCTACGGTCAACAAGCCCTGCGTCACAGCGAACTTGTTATACGGGCGCGCGTCGTACCACTGCGTCAGCTTCTCCGTCATGTCGAGAACGTGCGGGGTGTTCGGCCTGGGCGAGTACAGCCACTCGGTAGCGCTCCAAAACAACCGATGCTGTTCCACGCTCGATGCGCCCTGGTAGAGTACGATCACTTGTTGATTACTCGCCCGAATCGACTCCAGCGTTAGCTCTTGTAGCGGCCGCTGCTTGGGCGGCGACGGGACCATGATGTCTTCGAAAGTGGCGAGTAGAAACTCCTTGAGTTTCTCGTGTTCGGCGCCGTCCATGCGGTAGAAGTTCTGGAAGTGCAGAATGACGACCTCGTCGCGGTGCGCGTCGAGAAACTGTCGCGTCTCCTGCATGACCGCCTTCGCCGCGATGCCGTAGAAGCCGTGAAAGAAGAACCAGTCGTCGGTGACGTTCTCCTTGGTCGCCGTCCTGACGTCGAAGTAGCGGATTCCGGTCGTCAGCTGCTGCGTCGCCGTCATGTTCTGCGGTTACTTCGGGGTTGAATGTTGTTCTTACTGTGGAGACTGTATCTTCTGTTGAGATGTCAAGAGCGTCTGTTGTTGTAGATGTTCCTGTTGAACTAGTACCTGGTACTGGTGTTGCTGTATATGTTGATGTAACGGTTCCTGCTGAATTAGTATGTGGTGTTGCTGTGTATGTTGATGTAGCGGTTCCTGTTGAATTAGTATTTGCTGTATATGTTGATGTAGCGGTTCCTGTTGAATTAGTATTTGGTGTTGCTGTATATGTTGATGTAGCGGTTCCTGTTGAATTAGTATTTGGTGTTGCTGTATATGTTGATGTAGCGGTTCCTGTTGAATTAGTATTTGGTGTTGCTGTATATGTTGATGTAGCAGTTCCTGTTGTGCTAGTATTTGGTGTTGCTGTATATGTTGATGTAGCAGTTCCTGTTGAATTAGTATTTGGTGTTGCTGTATATGTTGATGTAGCAGTTCCTGTTGAATTAGTATTTGGTGTTGCTGTATATGTTGATGTAGCAGTAGTTTTCATGTAAGAGTTTATCATCTGGTGTGTGCTGTATCTGTTATTGTAGGCAGTTTTCATGTAGAATTATCATCTGGGTGTTGGCTGTATATGTAATGTATAGGCTTCTGTGAATCTAGTTATTGGTGTTGCTGTATATGTTGATCGTAGGCCATTTCCTGTGAATTAGCATACTGTGTTGCTGTATATGTGATGTAGCAGTTTCGGTAGAATTATCCAATCTGGTGTTGCTGTACTATGTTATTGTTTAGCAGTTTCTGTTGAATTAGCCAATGCTGGGTTGATGTATATGTTGAGTAGCATTTCTGTAGAATTATCATCTGGTGTTGCTGGTATATGTTATTGTAGCAGTTTCTGTTTGAATTAGCAATCTTTGTGTGTTCTGTTATATGTTGATTAGTCAGTTCTTGTTAGAATATCATCTGGGTTGCTGTACTAATGTTATTTGTAGCAGTTCTGTTGAATATCATCTGGTTTGCTGTATATGTTATGTAGCAGTTTCTGTGACATTAAGCATCTGGTGTTGCTGTATATGTTGATGTAGCAGTTCTGTAGACAATTAGTATCTGGTGTGCTGTAGTATGTTGATGTAAGCAGTTCTTGAATTAGCATCTGTGTTGCTGCTATATGTTTGATGTTAGCAAGTTCTGTAAATTATCATCTGGTGTTGGCTGTAATGTTATTGTAGCATTTCGTGTTTGAATTAGCATCTGGTGTTGCTGTATTATTGATTGTAAGCAGATTTCTCTGTATAAAGTAAGAATTATCATATGTGTGCCTGTATATGTATTGTAGCAGTTCTGTTGAATTTAAATGCCATCTTGTGTGCTGTATATTTGAAATGTAGCAGTTTTCTGTATGAATTATCATCTGTGTGCTGTAATATGTTATTTGTAGCATTTCTGTTGAATTATCATCTGGTGTTGCTGTATATGTTATATTGAGCGCAGTTACTGTTGAATTAGTCATTCTGTGTTGCATGTATTTATGTTGATGTACGCAGTTTTCTGTAGAATTAATCATTCTTGGTGTTGCTGTATATGTTATGTAGGGCAGTTTCTGTAGAATTATCATCTGTGTTGCTGTATATGTTGGATGTAAAGCGCAGTGTTCTGTTGAATTAGCATCTGGTGTTGCTGTATATGTTGATGTAGCAGTTTCTGTTGAATTAGCATCTGGTGTTGCTGTATATGTTGATGTAGCAGTTTCTGTAGAATTATCATCTGGTGTTGCTGTATATGTATTGTAGCAGTTTCTGTAGAATTAGCATCTGGTGTTGCTGTATATGTTGATGTAGCAGTTTCTGTTGAATTAGCATCTGGTGTTGCTGTATATGTTGATGTAGGCAATTTTCTGTTGAATTATCATCTGGTGTTGCTTGGTATTATGTTGAATTAGGCAGTTTCTGGTAAGAATTATCATCGGTGTTGCTGTATATTTTGATGTACAGCAGTTTCTGTTGAATAGTATATGGTGTTGCTGTATATGTTGATGTAGCAGT